TAGTGACAAGCTTTCCTTAAAAAAATGTCTCTTTTTACTTTTATGGTGTTACTATTACAATGCTTTGATGTATTTGTTAAAACAATTAAGGTAATGTGGCTGTTTGCATGTAGTCTCTTTTTCTCCATCCTTTCGTTGTGGGAGTAAGCTTGGAAAGATAAATGTTCTTATTTATATTTATATTGCCAACAATACTGTGATCACACCACCAAGCAGTGTAATATGAGGGGATAATTTTGCCAAGTTGTTTTATTTGGACAAATGTACTCCACAGACATGGTAGCATAAAGAGAGATGTTATACTTCATTTTCAAGCATGAGGCTTGAAGAAATGGTGTTAGATTTCAGGAAAGGATTCAAAAGCAGCAACAGTAAAATTATCTCTTTCGTGCCATTCATTATATCACAAATATCTTTTGAAAAGTGTCAGACACCTGTGCTGATGAAACCAGAAAGGGGAAAAATGTCATCTTATGTATGTTTAATATGTGTATCATGACAGTGTACAAATGTACTAAAGTCAGCCTGTAGAGAACCTTCCTGGCTGCACAACTCTTGTTTCTTTCACACCCCACTACTTCCATCGGCATTGTGGCTAATACAGTTTGGGAATTATGTTTCCTTCTAACTCGTAGACCGGACCCATTTAGTCAAATCACTTGAAGGATTTGCAGGTTTTAAATTACAATTCTCTTCATCCTTGCCCATTAACAGGCTAGGTGTGGTAGAGAAATGTTGGATTCCAATTATCTTTGGATTTTTCTCGTACGTGATTTCCTTTTATGGAACAAGGAAGGAGTCTGTGCCTATGACAGAAAATTAAACAGTGGCATCATGAAAGTAAATAGTACAGAAAGTAAATACTTCAGAAAGTAAGTGGGAAAAGGGGAGGATTATTGACATACCTCTTACCCAGGATTCTGTAATGTTATGCTTCTGGTTTGTGTGTCCATATGCCTGAATTCAAGAACATATGAATGAGGCCGTTTTCTATTTATGAATGCAATTCTTCCATCCAACTCTCCCATGGATGCAATAATAACCCCTCCGAAATTCTTAATAGCTCCAGGTGGGAACTTTCTATTAATTGGTCTCTCTGCAAGGAGTAGGACTAATTCTGAATTTTGACTGGCACTTAAAAGAGAGCACAGATTCCTATGTATCACATACAGTTTTAGTTACAAGTTTTTAGTTTTTGGTACTGCACAAAACTTAAAAATGCCATGGATGGTGATGATATTGGCAATTTATAAAATGGCAGCAATACTGTACAGAGACTGCCTTCTTTGGTTTGAAAGGCTTCCAAGCCCAAAATGTACAGGATAATAATTTCCTGAATTCCACATGATGTTTATTGTAGTAATGCTTATTTACATATTTTTAGATTACAGGACTTGCAATAATTTTGCATTTTCATGATGTTGATGTTAATAAAATTATTACCGGAAGTCAAATAAGATTGAAATTGTTGGGCAGCATTGGGCATCAGAGTTTTGTGACAGATTTCATAATGTTTCACCAGCAAATGTGTGGCATCTACAGAGGCACAGCCGGCCACAAGTAACTGAGCAGGGACTTACTGAGTTCCTGCTCATCACAGTTGCCTCTGTGGTCTTGAAGCCCAAAATGGCCCAACAGATACCAGCTGTGAATGCCTATATCAGTGTAAGTTTGAAATCCTTAACTGAGAAGCACTTGACTTTAGTGAACTGTACAATACATGTTATACAAGACTCAGTAGATAGCAGTGGCTGGACTGACTTGGATTAAGCTTGAAAGATAACAAGGTTTGGCTTTGGAATAAAAGAAATACCAGGGCCACGGACTAAGCTGGGAAGTTGAAATACATCCCAGAAGAAGGAATCATTTCTTTACTGTATTGTTGCCAAGAAAATTCCATAGACAAGTCAGGAAGCCTTCAGGAGTTGATCCTGAAGGAGACGGTTCCTTTGTCCATGTTGTGTAAAAGCTCCATATTTGTACTTTGGTTCCCTTCTCCCTCCTTCCCTTACGTAATCTCAGTTTTCTTCAGATACAGAAAATACATTATTGTTGCTGGTGACCTAAAAAAGGATGATGGGGAGAGGAGAATAGAACAGATAGGAGACAGATATATTTCCTGCTGCAGCAGCTCTGTATGTAATCTGCTTCCTCTGTCCCCCCCCAGCGTGTAATGAAATAATGAAATATCTTACAAGGAGAAAAAAAAACTGTTTTGAAAAAGAAAAGTAGCTGTGGCTGGAGAATGAGCTCTACGCATGTTGGGCTTCAGAGAAGCATTATGTCATTCTCATTTGCACTATTATGGGATGATCTCATGGAGGGGGGAGTTGCTGCAATTTACAGCTCTGCTATTTCAGCCCATGTGATGATCAGCATTCACTGTGCTCACCGGCAGAACAGAATGAAAGGGGGAAAGGAGAAGAAATGGCATTGTAAATTATTGAAAATCCTGAGACGTTTTAAAGAACAAATGCTGGAATGGACAGATTGACAATAACAGGAATGCGATTCACTTGCTCCTTTTTCTGTTCCTCCGGAGGGATTTTATCTCAAAGAAGAAGAAATCACTCAGGTTGATTTTTTTTTCCTTTTTTTGCAGTCCCTACCAACTTTTCCCTTGCCACCTTGCCTTACCATTCTATGATCCCCATTTAAAGACTCCTTAATTTTTTTTAAAGAGCAAAAGCATATATATTAAGCCTATTGTATAACTTGAAAACTGTGGCCATTAACCAGTGCATGTGTGCCATGATGTGTATTGTGATTGATAATTCCCAAATTGCTTATTGTTAAATTACTTACAATTAGGATACAAATCTATGAAAAACAATTTGTACTTTTAAAAGAAAACTTCCACAAGAATTGAAAAATGGAAGTTGGAATAGAAGTCAGAAGACAAAAATGAAGATTGCTGAGAACTAGAAGTAAAAATTGGCAAACCTGTGTGTGTGTATGTGTATGTGTATGTGTGTGTGTATATGTGAGAGAGAGGGAGGAAGGGAGGGAGGGAGGGAGGGAGGGAGGGAGAGAGAGAGAGAGAGAGAGAGAGAGAGAGAGAGAGAGAGAATCCAAGCCAATCAAATAGATCATCCATATCATAAATCAGGGACAAATGAACTTTTTCCAGCCAGTAATTCCCCCCTCCCTCCTTCTCCTCCTCCTCGGGAGTTTATATTAAAATAACACCCGTGGGGAAGAAATTTTAACGTTTCTTCCTTTTATTTAAATTATACAGTTAAATATAGCTTTATGGGATTTTTGTTTCAAAACTTCGGCATTTAACAGATTTTTTTAAAGGACTTTAACAAATCCATATTACCTCTGCTATTCCCACAGAATCCCTACACTTCTCTCAGTGGCAGTCCCATGCATGAGTCTTTGTGCAAAGAAGAATGATGAGGCTATCAGTTGCAATGCCACGTGGTTGAATTATAAACATAGTGGATTTTACTATATTCATTAACGAGAATAGCAGTGGTAGAAAGAAAGGTGGCATCATAGATAGTGTACTTTAAATGAGGCACAGTTTTTGCCTTAATTTCATGAGCAATTCATATAAAATGCATTTTTGTAAAAAAAAGTAAAATAAAATATGTGACGTATTGCAATACTTTAGCAAAGAACATAAAGCACAACAAAATGTATAACCTTTTGCCTCTCCTGTGCACTGCTTAGTTTCAGGAACTGGTTATTCCTCTGTATAGCCATAAACTGTAAAATACAACTACCGTAATCCACATAATCCATAGTTCTGCCGCCCACAATAGTAGAAATTGTTGCCAAATACATGTCACAGTTTGAGACAGAGAATCTTTGGAGGTATTGCTAAACTGCCTTGTTTGGACTGCCATGTTTTGGCATGACTACCTGGCAGATTTACCTACCTTAATCTTTAACTAGACAATTTTGAAGCACATGTTGAAAGTCAGCACCGTGAGCAAATACTATCCATTGAACAGATACTGCACCAACTTGTTCTTTTGTTTGAAGCTTTTAAAGAGCAGCTAGACACCCCATGCCCCAATTGGAGTATCATTTCAGAGATATTTCTTTATCTAAACAGAGAAATAGAATGACCAATGATGGGCAAAAAATAGTGGGAGCAGGAGTGACTGACTTCCTGTTAGCTTCTTAATTGAGTTTCCTTGTGGGAATCTGACTGAATATTGGAAATTCCCTTCCCTCCTCTCCCCTCCCTTCCCTTCCTTTTCCTTCCCCAGGAAGCAGGTAAGTGGCTGCTGCTGGATGTGGGAAGGAATGAGAGATTGCAAGAGTGGCTGGGAAATTGTCCCAGAACACTGAAAATTAAGAGCATGTAACCACAGCAGTGTAGAGGCAGCCAGTATCACTGAAGCAGCCACAACGTCCCAAATTTCATTCCCTCGGGAGTCGTGGTCCCAGATTTTGGACAAATTCTGTAAGTTGGTCCATCTGAGGTAGGTTAGTTTTTTAAAAAATGTTGCCCTATAATGCACTGTTTCACCCAGTTAAAGGTCATGACAGTGAGAATTTTAGTACAATTCCTCAACTTACAACAGTTTGTTTAGAACTGTTCAGTTACAGTGGCACTGAAAAACATGGTTTATGACCTTTTTCCACACTTACGACCATTGCAGAATCCCCATGTCATGAGATCAAAATTCAGATGCTTGGCAACTGATTCATATTTATGACAATTGCACAGTCCTGGAGTAATGTTATCACCTTTTGTGACCTTATAACAAGTAAAGTCGATGGGGGAGCAGGGTTCACTTAACAACTGTACTACTAATATAACAACTGCAGTGATTCACTTAGCAAATGTGGCAAGAAAGGTCGTAAAATGGGTCAAAATTCACTTAACACATGGTTCACTTAGCAACAGAAAGTTTGGGCTCAATTGCGGTCATAAGTCGAGGAGTACCTGTAATATATAAATTAGAATTTGGAATATTAATGGCACATTGCTTTCTAATCCCTTTTTCATTTGTTCCTGGTTTCTAATCATTTTGTTTCAGAAAATCTTCAGAAGAAGTGGACATGGATAAAGTCACGGCAGCTATGGTTCTAACTACTTTATCCACCAGCCCTTTGGTTCGCAGCCCCCCAATCCGTCCTAATGGTGAGCATGTTTTCAGGAGAGATTATGACAGAAAGGTTTGGGGAAAAGATGCACCTAGCTTCATTTTCTCTTCTGCCTGCCAGTAGGAAGACCAACCATCAGTCATTCTCCCCAATGTGGAGTGGGGTGGGGTTAGTAATTGTAAAACAGAAGTTTACACTAGAACAGGGGTGTCAAACTCAAGGCCTGCAGGCTGGATGCAGCCGACATGATGCTTAAATCTGGTCCCCGGGGCCAGCCTGGAAATAGCAAACGACTGGCCCGCGGTACCTCTGGCAGCCAAAACACGGTGCAAGGCTGTGTGTGGCTCCCCCATGCTCCATTTTCGGCCTCGATGGCCTCCTGCAGCACTCTGTCAGTCAAAATGGGGCATGGAGGGGCCACGCACGGGAGGACACACATGTGTCCCTATTTCTCCCCCCCCCAGCCTGCGGAGGAGAACTACAATGTTGATTCGACCCTCGAAGAAATCCAGAGTGACACCCCTGCACTAGAGGATTTACCCACTTGTTTAATTTTCCAACTAACAGAATGAAGATGTGGAGGGTTTCATAATGTGAAGCAGTGCCTTCCTGTTCAGTACTTCTACTCAGTACAGTCTCTTCTTCGTGCTAATGACTTGTCAATTAGGTTATTTCTGATCATAGATCTAAGGCGTTACTTTGTATGATAGAGCATGTTTTGAGATGTAGACTGGCTGATAGATTACAAGCACTGATTGAATAGGAGACAACAAAAACAAATGCTCATTGATTGCTTCTGCAAAACAATGACAGTGCTGGCAAGGAGTGACCAAGAAATCTAGCTCTCGCCTTCATAGCTGCCAGTGATCAAGAGGAGTGAGGGACTACAATTAACCCACACATAAAAACTGCAGTCACTACTTAGCATCTAGTGTTGCCAAAGCTGCAATTGAATAGGCAAAATGGTGTGGGGTTTTTTTCTCTCCCAAAGCAGGAGTGAAATTCAGCAGATTCTAGAAAACCGGTAGCAGAAAATTTGAGTAGTTAGGAGAGCTGGCAAATACCACCTCAGGTTGGCCCCAATGTCCCAAAGTAATAAAAAGTATCAAAGCTATAGCCATGTGAAACTCCTCATCAAGCAGTGGCAAAGCTGTAATGCTCTTGGCCTAATCAGCTGTCCAGCTACAACCTTAGTGGCTTGTCAATAGGTAGATAGTCTAGAAATCAATGGGTTCCTGGCTGTAGCCTTCTTTGAGCATAGCTTGATAGAAAAATATGAGTAAGTCTTTGTTTATATCAAGTATAGTTTATTTATGCAGTTCGGAAACTCCAGTAAATATGGAACCATGTATATTCCTGGAAAATCTGTATGGTGTGTGTATGTGTGTGTGAGAGAGGGGGCGGGGGGAGAGAGATGTATTTCTTATATCTTAGTAGACAATCATTTTCTTTTCAATTCATTGTATGTAATCTAGATGTCCCAGCATTCTTCCTAAATACATGTTTTTAGTTCTATTGCCCCCAATTCTCTTACTAGAAATTGTTTGTTTATTAATTTACAGTATTTATTAAATTAATTTGCCTTCCATCTTGTTTTGAAGGGACTCTGAGCGGCTTACAGCATTAAAAGCATTAATATCCAACTTGTAGTTATCTTTTTTAATGCTGTTGTTAATTTATAGAATCCTTAAATGGATCCTGGAAAGAAGGAGGATTTGTGCCTTCCAGTACCAGTAGCAGTGGGTATTGGAGCTGGAGTGCCCCAAGTGACCAATCAAACCCATCTACTCCATCACCTCCCCTTTCTGCTGACAGCTTCAAACCATTTCGATTACCATCTCAAACAGATGATGGCATTGACGAGGCTGAAACTAGCAGTCTTCTTTTTGATGAACCCATTCCTAGGAAAAGGAAGGTGAGCCTGATATTGACTGTGTCAATATTCTCTTATAGTGTTATTATACCTGTGTTTCTCAACCTTGGCAGCTTTAAGATGGGTGGACTTCAATTCCCAGAATTCTCCAGCCTGTATGTATATTGTGATATTTTATGAACAAATACCTGTGTTTACTTATGAAAGACTGCATCATATATCATTTTTATCGAAAGCCAGATGGTTTTTTGTTTCACTTTGCCTTTATTTACTCTTCATTTTTTTTAAATATATGGCAATTGTTTTAGTTCTCTTAAAAGAAATATTTGTCTGAAAAGTCCTGGAGTTGCTACAGATAAATTGTTAGTAGATGAAATGTTAGGAAATTCCTGTCTGTGTTACTGTATTGTACTAAAGTCAGCTACTACTTTTCATTCTAATATGAAAACAGAGTGAACTCATTTCAGTATTCCAAATTAGCTTTGCAAGATTATTGATCAAAAGATCAATATTGTATAGTTCTGTTTATGAATCGTGAACTTAAATTGCATTCAGGTGCGCGGTTCCCAAAAGTAAATCCTCCTAAGTTTAGTAGGCCTATCTCCTTAAATGTATGTGTCCTTGAAACATTAATTTTAATTTACTTTACTATTAATATAAATATAATAATTTGAAACCCATGCTTGTTAAATGAATGCACTGTGTACAGTTTGTGCTCCCTGTTTAACTTCTCAGAACTCCATGAAAGTAATGTTTAAATGCCTTTGGAAAAACTGTGGAAAGGTACTAAGCACTGCTGTTGGCATTCAGAAACACATCCGGACTATTCATCTTGGGTGAGAAGACTACAGTTCTTTTTATTTATGAAACAATTTTTATCCCAATGTTAGCATTACTTTGAAGCGAGTTCACTAAGATTTATAACCAAATGAGCCTGTTTATAATCTAGCTATTACTTGTGGTAATCCCCTTATTTCTTTTTCAGGGGTTTGCATATAACATTGAAGTCTCTTTTATCAGGACTTTGAGCTAGGGGAAAGGAATCAGCAAGAATTCAGTTTCATATAAGCAGTGTCCTTGCTTTCTATTATGTATAAATTTGTTTCCATTAATGGGTAGACATACTCATGACAAATGACTAATGACTAATGACAAATCTTAGATTGTTTTCTTGATTTGCTAAAGAAAGTAGAATTTATTTTAAGACACAGTTTCCAATGCATGTATAAGAATCAAAACAATATTTTTCCTAACATGAAACAGAGCACTGATTTATTTTTCCTTTTTGGCCACTGTAAAGAAGGAACAGTCAAAAACTACAAACCAGCTACTTTGGGTTCATTTCATTGTGTGCCAGTGAACTAAGCTTAATTTATTAAGTTAGTAATTATTATAACTGAAGCTACTAGATCAATAACACAAATTTGATAAAATCAGAAGTTTTAGGAACATTTGGGGAATTCTTTTTGGGAAAAAAGAAATAGTTTCTCTGAAAAGGGATTCTTGTTATTTGTGGAAATAACATCTGGATGACTTACGACTGCAACAAGCTGCTGCAGATCTTTGGTTAATGTGTTTCCCCTTATCTCTCCTCCTTCTGTATGGCCATGATAAACTTAGGCAATTTTGCTTCAGTTTTAGATCAGCAGTTTGTTTCAGTTAGATCCAACCAATTGTGGTAAATCCTAACCATTGTTTGTTTAAGCCAATTTCCTTGAGATGAATTCAAATTACTCCAGTGAACTATACATTTTGAATACAATTCTGAAAAATGGACAATATTCTTTTTCTTTAAAAAAGAATAAGCGAATTCTTTAAAAAATAGAACAAAGCCTTCCATTTTCCTCTCTCTACACCAATAGAAAAGCAAGAACTAACATGAATCCAAAGGATTTTTGGTATTTAAAAGCTCTCCTATCAATCACGATAGGAATAATTAAAAATTAAACTCACTGAACTATGCTGTCATTTCTCATATCTTTTTCCCATTAATTCAAATCTGCATTTAATAATTTTAAAAAAAATGAGTGGGTGGGAAAAGTGAATTGAATCTCACTCATTGCATAAGCTAGGTACAATTATATGCTTTTTCTTTCTCCCAGATTTTCTCCTTTGCTTCATCAAATTGTCGTGAGAATAAAGGGAAATAATATGCTGAGGGTTTTGAAGAAAATATCAGATACAAATATGAGGAATAAATGAAATAAAGTCTCTGTCTACTTTAAATAATCTATGTTTCCAGCAGCTTAATTTATAAAATGTGAAAAATAAAATTAAGTCTTTTTTATTTCAACATTCTGTGCACATGAAGTATAAGAATATTAACTGATCAGTGGATTTCTCCTGAAGAGATAAAAGTCTTTTCTATGTAACAGTTGTAACTGTGTGTATATATCTTTCTAGTGTCCTATGTATAGAAATGCTAGTGCAAATATTCCCCAATGTGCACATGAATATATTAATTTATATATATATAATTTATATATATATAATTGGTTTTAGTGGTAAGATATTAAACAATTCTTTTTCTTTGCATAGACTCCTATTAATATATTGGAACTTCTTATTATACTGAATTTGGTACAGTATTAATAAGTTCTGACTGTCATTTCTTTAGACGTGTAGGAGAATCTGACTACAGTGACGGAGAGGAAGATTTTTACTACACAGAGATACGTCTCAACACTGACTCAGTAGCTGATGGATTAAATAGTTTATCTCCAGTTTCACCCTCTCTAGCATCTCTTCCTTTTTTTCCATCCCAAGATGGGAACAGAAGTGAACTATCATGTGCCAAAACAGATGCTAAAGGGATGACTCCTCTAAGCCGTTCAGCTCCTACCAACCTCTACCTCATTCACTCTGATCATGCTTACCAGGTGAATATTTCATTTGATTGCATTTCATTTATTTTAGTTTACTATCCATAAATTATACTAACTAGATTCAGTGGTAATAAAGTGAAATCGAGCTGTGATTGACTTGTGGTTACATTTAGGGGTTTGTTTGTTTTTTGCATCCCACCCTCTTTTTCTCTTTCTTGCTGCAAAGTTCTTGGGAAATCATTTAAAGTAGGTATCTGAAATTGCTGAACTATTTTTACACTATGATTAATAACACTAAACTAGGATTGTACTATGCGTGCAGGTCATGTGCTATTCATTCTCAAACCCTTGTTTCAGAATAATAAAGACTTCTGGTGTTGAAATAGTAGAAGAATGTGTTACTTTTTCATGTAAAGGAGGAGTGGCGAAATGGAAACACATAGTACCCCTCTGACAAAATTGTTTCATTTATTTATTGATTGATTGATTTTCCACCTTTATTATTTTTATAAACAATATGGCAAGTATACCTAATTCTCCATTTTCCTCTTATTTTTCCCACAACAACAACCTGTGAGGCAAGTTGGGTTAAGAGAGAATGACCAGCCCAAAGTCACCCAGCCGGTTTTCATGACAAAGGGGGGGACTTGAATTTTCAGTCTCTGGATTTCTAGCCGGGTCCCTTAACCACTAGGCCAAACGGGCACGCTTCTTGCCTTTAAACTAGCAATTATGTTTTGATACTAGTTTGAGCATCATAATTCATTGTATAAATTGGATTTATTTATCACATAAGCTTTGAAAGTATTTTGAAAATGGATTTAGATTTGCATTTTTTTTACAAAATTTATATTAACTTTTAAGTGTGGAAGGAATTAACATAATTTAGTATGTGGTGGCTAAACAAACCCTCAGAATCCATGGGCATTTGCAAATGTTAATCAGATAATTCATTCTTTGTAGCAATCTATATTCTAAAACACCTGCCAATATAAAAAAATGTTAGTTTCCACACCATATCTGATCATTTGTTGCATACATTGAAATGGTGATCTTTATTTAAAAAATGGAATCAAACATTTTAATTATCTCTTACAAAGGAAAACTATTCTTTATAAATGAACTGAAAACTACTTATAAAGGTTTTGAATATTTGTAATCAATATATATATACTGTATAATCTTATTTTTATGATTTATTTATTTATATTTCCTATTTCTAAACTGCCCAACTCCCTTAGAGATTAAAAATAAGCTCATTGAGCTGTGCAGTCATTTCTCATATCTTTCTCCCAATAATTCAAATCTGCATTTGAATTGCATTTACTAAAAAAAGAGATCTTTCTTAATAAAATGGCTAGTGGATGGGAAAAGTGAATTGAATCTCCATTCACTGCATATATATTATATGAAATCATAATAGTAAAAACATGAGCAGGATAAGTCCATATAAAACAACAAAAGTCATTTTTTTAATGGTAGGCCATTTAGGCTGGTGGGCCAGGAAGATGGCCTCTGCCATTGCCCCCATCCTCTGACCTATCTTTTCCCTCTCTGGCCGCACAACATGTCAGGCCCCTACTTTCCTGGCTTTTCAAAGAAGGTTAAAAATTTGGCTCTTCTGATTCACACGAGGCTCCCAGATACCTTGATGGCCCTCCTGCTGCCTTTTAACTTTTAATTTATTCTAATCCTGTTTTTATCTGTCACTTTTTAAGGTGTTTTTAATCTGGTTTTAGGCTTTCCTGTTTTTACTATGCACTACCGAGAGTCACTCTGTGAGCAGGATGGGCAGTATTTAAAGTTTGATAAATAAATAAATAAGATTTGAACTTGGCCTGCCACCACTTGGAATGGGCTTTTAGAAGTATCCAGTGTCACCACTAAAAACTTTTTTGCGTTTGTAAAGACACCCAGAGCAGGTATACATCAAATTGCATGATTCTCATGTAGTCTCTCATATAAGAAAAGACTAAAGACAGCAAATGCAATTTCTCTACATCTCTCTGCAACTATTATTATTAACATTAATTATTGAAGAATTTTTTACAGAGCACAAAAAATACAAATACGAAAAAGAAAAATGATAAATAAGTAAAAAATAAAGAAGGAAAAACAAAACAAAAATCTGTCTGCAAGAAAGAATCTGCAAACTTTGATAACTTTAAGATAGAAAATAAATAAGAGAGTATGGGGTCCTTGGTGCATTCTGAACGTGGTTGTTTGCTTGAAGATGTTGACCTGATGAGGTAAAATCATCAGTACATTAGTAACATCATCAATGGGCACTGATGGTGTTACCCAGTCAGGTGGTGAAATGTCTGCGAGCAAACAACCAACATCAGGGAACTCTACAAGAACTCTACAGTTCAACTCTGAACTATTTATCTATAAATATCTATGAGTTATTTTTCTTCAGCAATTGCAGTTAAATCCTGCAACTGGCTCCTGGCTGCGATGTCTATTTTTTCTTTTTCATCATCTCCACTTTTGTTTTGCAGTTGCTGCAAAACTCCTTAAAGAGCTAATTCCCTTTGATATCTAACATTACATTTAATATATGAAAGCCGTATGTGCTTTCTTTAGCCTGTTATTGTTCTTTTAATCATTATCTAATATTTCACCCTGGAACTGGCAAATATTTTTCCTCCAACTGTGTTATAATTTCCCTAAAGCTATCTTCTCCAGTCGGATAATTCCAGATTAGTTGCTTTGTGACCTCTCCATTGTTATCAGCAATAGTCTTTTGCTGGTTGGGAATGTTACAAAGGATGCTATAGTTCAAAATATCTGAAAGGAGCCACATTGGGGAAATGAAAAGTTGCCCTAAAATACTTCTTTTGTAAGAGCTAAGCTTTCAATATTTTTTTTGGGGATCTGCATATATTATGAATTCACTATCTTTCATTTTTCTTAGTGACCACTATAGACAACTTCCTTTCAGTGGCATCTTGTATTATTCATCCTATTGTCTTTTCAAGAGAACTGAAAAATAGAATCAAAATGAGACCAACTTACTATTTTTCATAGGAGAGAATCGAACATATAATTTGGTAACATGGAGATGTTCCTTCTTAACTGACTTCCTATTTTTTGAAACAGGCTACAGCTCCTGTGAACATTCCAGGGTCAGCCAAGTTTACTCCCAATGGAAAAAGCTTTAGCATCTCTTGGCAGACACCCACAGTTACCTTCACTGGCCTTCCAGTAAGTAGAAAACCAGCAAATTAGGAGGGGGAGGTTTGTTTACCACATGGGATGGCATGTGTGAAGCAAGATCAATATTTGCAATTTATGCAGGTAATGGATTTCTTTCTCCCTTGCCTGTCCAATTCCACTCATGGATGCATTGCTGCAGCCAAGCATCATGCAGTTCATGGGCTGCATGTGGCCCACTAGAGCCCTTGTGCAGCCCATTGGTATTTTCTTTTAAAAAATCACCACCCCCTCTCCAAAAATATATATACTGTGAGTGCCCCAAGCATCTCTGCCACCAGCAGTTTCACAGTACTGCTGCATCTTTAGCCTCCAAACTGTTGACCTGCTAGGCATTCCTTTGTGTCCTGCAGTGATTTTTGATGTATCAATGGGATCCTTTCCCCTTGTGTAGACCTGCATCAAAGATTTCAATAAAGGTCATTCAAGCATATTTTAAACAAAATAGCAATAGCACTTATAGTCTTTGCAGCCCTCTCTAAGTGGTGTACAGAGTCAGTCCTCATTTTACTGATCTTGGAAGGGTGAGTCAACCTTGAACCAGCCAGAATCAAACTGGTGGCAGTCAGCAGAATTAGCCTGCAATATTGCATTCTAACCATTGCGTACCACGACTCCCATTTGAAAAAGCCATCAAATGAATTTGCTGTAAATGTCATCTGCGAATCAGCTTGATGTTTGTTAATATACTATGCAGTGTCAAAACACCTTATGACAATGCTGAATCCTATAGAGATAAGAGCACATTTTGGCCAAAATTAATTATGGACATTCTCCAATTCCATTGGGCTGCAGTGATACTGCAAGACAGTTTTCCTCTTTCCTTAGCTTCCCTCACAGGGCTGTTTTCATTGACTTATCATGATCTGTTATAATCCCATAATGCTGTTTAGTTGCTTATACCATCTTCCATATGCATAACATATCTTTAATTCCACCTAATATAATTAACTACTGTAAACAATATTTCATTTTTTTATTCAAATAATTTTTCTAACTTTTGAATTATCATTATCAGAGCAGACATCGTGTCTTATGTCTTAGCATTTGACCTAAGGCTACATGTTCCAAATTTTCACAAATATGCAAGGCTGTTTAAAAACTCTGATTTTTGACAGGGTGAATTAGAAATTGATAAGGTACTGCCAGCTATTTCTCATTTCACAACGTGAATCACAAAAGCCTCTTATTGTCAACCTTTAGAATTTCTTGGAGGCTTTCTGTAGAATCTGGGGGCTCCTGCTGAGCTGATAAAAATGAAAGTAACTGAATCAATTACATTGCATTCTGCCAATGAATATTTATTAAATTTCATCAAGAAACAGCTAGCAGTGCAAGGCATCCTGCTGGTTGTAATTTGAACAAGAGACTCTTAACAGAACCTGCTGTGCATGAAATACCCCAAAATTTGATTTCATGACAATATGGTAGAACTGGAGTAATTTTAAAAGGAGGGTTGCACTCTGTGGCACTGGGATAAATTGACACAAGTATTGCAAGAAAGCCAAAAGTCTCATTATCACAAAATAGGCAGATTATTTTTCTTAAACTTGTGCTATCTGGATATGTTGATACTACAACTCCCATTATTCTCAGTCAATATGGCCAACCAATATGCTGCCTATGGCTTCTGAGAATTATAATTCCACTATGGGCTATAGGTAGTTATAGATATTAAGAATTGAGTATGAATTCACAAAGATTCATTATTCCCCAAACAGTCAGGAACACAACTGTTATATATCATAAGGTAATTATTTGGTTATAATCTCTTCTTCCTAGTTCAGTTCTGACCTCTGACCTCCCAAGGCTATCTTCAAAGTCACAGAAGGCTTTAACTTGAAGACTTGAAGGAGCTTTTGGAAATGTCACTGTTTAGAGCATTTTTCAGTTTCACTGCTATTTTCTTGACAAATTTATGTATAAGCAGATCAGAAGCTAACAAATAGCTATAGTGAGAACAAAACTCTATTATTAGTCTCATTTCGAAGAGCCCCTTTGCTGATTTTGCCAGTAGCAGCTGTTGACCTTTTTTTCTATACAGTTTTATATAGTATGCTAAAATTAGTTATTCTGATGTTACCATCATTCACTGCATAAACTAATGAGGTGGCAGGAACATGTAAAGTATTGATGAACCTGTTGATGCTTTCTCTGAACTAGTTCATTAGCTGTCTATCAACTCAGTAGCAGCAGCACTTTTTGTATTATGTTGAATATTTTGCCCTTCTTACCCCACAGATGAGAATATGCTAGGTAAAAACAAGTGCCAGAGATACAAGTACAAGATCAGATATCCACTTAGATATCTATGCTTAAACATAAGAGGGAACAGAGGATTAAGTGAGAGAACATAATCATATACAATTTTGAGAACCAGGAAGATTTTCCAGGAGGGCGTTCTATTACCTGAATTGTCTAATGTGGTGAGCTCTACATATTCACGTGTGAGCACATTCTTAAACAATTACAATTATTCTTCAAATTAAACTAGATCAACACACCTGAAACTTCATGAAATTTCATAGAACAACTTGGAGGATTATAGATGTTCCTGCTTTATTTTCCTACAAAATGAAATGTGGAAAATTATGTAAAGGGACCCGAGCAGAGGTGGTATTCAGCAGGTTCTGATCAGTTCTGGAGAAATGGTAGTGGAAATTTTGAGTGGTCTGGAGAACCGCTAAATACCACCTCTGACTGGCCCCGCCCCCATCTAATCTCTGCCTCCCAAAACCCAGCTGATCGGGAGGAAATGGGGATTTTGCAGCAACCTTCCCCTGGAGTGAAGTGGGAATGGAGATTTTACAGTATCCTTCCTCTGCCACGCCCACCAAGCCACTCCACACCCACCAAGCCACGCCCACAGAACTGATAGTAAAAACATTTGAATCCCACCACTGGACCTGAGACTTTTTCTGTCAATCAGCAAGATAATGCTGTGATTTCCTCCAGTCTATACCCCCTCTTTCCTGGTCACATGAGCCCAAAAAGTGCATTCTGCACTCATCCTTTCCCACTGCACATATACATAGTCACACAGATATAGCAAGAAGGATCCCCCAAAATACGAACACAGACAAAACATCCATGCACCACTGTGATTAGATCCTCATACAAAATATATATGTGTGCAACATGACTGGCTTGGACCCTGGGGTGAAAGTACATACTGTACATATGCATAATATGCAACATGCTGCTTTGTTACCTACATATTCTTCCTCCTTGAAAGAGGAGATCGCTTCTTCCTAACTGACATATCACCAGATACTTCTAGAAAGGTTGCAAATTTTGTTATAGCTGTTTATAGCTATTTATAATTTTGATAACTTTCTTTATTGATCAGGGTCATATGTACATTTTATTGGTCTCTGATTATTTTGCTATGATTTTTCCCCTTTTCCTTATGGTCTATTTACTTTGATCTTTGTACAAACGAATATATAGATATTTCCCATATCCCCTGCTGGTAAAAGAGTTGGAAAGAATTCCAGAAACTATGGTCTGCATGCATTCCCTACCTTGATTTTAAATCAAAATTGGGGGAGGAATCTATTCCAAACAGAATCCTTAAGAGGTATAATAAAGCCAATTTGAGTACTAAGTAGATATTTACTGGCACAGAATATATCATTTTCTTTCTTGGATGCTTTTAAAAATGGTCCATAAGTAAATGTTTGCAAGCCTAGGCAGGGAATAGTTTCATATATTCAATCATGAATTCTGGCAAATTTCTTTGGTTCCTTTAACCCCTTCTTGTGATTGAAACCCTTCCCTGATATCTGGAGCAGATGATCAGCAAGAATATCAACTTGTCCACAAGATAATTGTATCCTTAGAATGCTCCAAATCATTTTTCTTTCATATCTCTGCCCTGCATTATGAGATGGAGTCCACCACTGAGTCTTGTAATATGTCCTCTATTCCATTGGGAGAAAGTCTATGAAATTAAGGTGATGAATCCACAGATTAAAACTCAATACAAGATCATTTAGTTTTATTAGCCATATTGTATCTTTTAATTCTGCAATTAGAACGCCACTTTTGTTTCTCTTGCTAGGTTTCACCAACTCACACACGGCATGTCGGGATCGGAGAACAAAAGCACCAGATCCACGCTGTTCTTTCATCACCACCTAGAGCATCAGTTGGCCTCAGGTAGGAGGCTCTTTACTTCAGAATGAAGGGAATTAATTAATGAGTGGAGGGTTTCTGTGGCCAACCTCTTTTTAATCTGAATTTCTTTTCAAAACAAATGCAGATGAATTATTTTTAACAATGCAACTTATCCTCAAGTGGCAATTACTTTTTTTTCAGTTCATCACAAAATAAGCCACATTCAGTCTCTTTTAAAATTAAAGAAGAACAATTACTAAGGCCTAATTAGAAAATAGAGATAGAAAGAGGGGGGAAAAATCAGAGAAATATATAGTATAAGTGTTTTGTGAACTTTGGAAGAGGCTATAGGACCGTGATGGTGAACCTATGGCATGCGTGCCATAGGTGCCACGAGGAGCCATTTGTTAGAACACTCAAGATGTTGCCCTGTCAGCTCCAGTGAACATGTGCACGCTGGCCAGTTGACTTTGGTCTTCATTTTTTGCCCCTACGGAGGCTTCCCCTGAAGCCTCCGGAGGGTGAAAAACCACCCAAAGTTTGGGGGAAAACTTCTGGTTTTCCCATTGGGCCGTTTTTCTCCCTCCAGACGCTTCAGGGAAGCCTGAAGCTTCCAGGAGGCCTCGGGGGGGAGGGGCAGGGGAGGCTGTTTTCAGCCCCCCTCCAAGCTCCTAAAAAGCCTCTGGAGCCTGGGGAGGGCGAAAAATGGGTCCATCGAGCGTGAAAAGCAGGGGGAAGGGTTGGGGTCGTGTCCATGTGCGCACATGGGGGGGTTGCACGCACATGCACACAGGAGTCTCGCACATAGAATTATGGGTATGGGCACTTCTGTGCATGACCCCTCCTTGCGCTTCCCCCACTTTCAGCACACGATGGGGAAAAGGTGAGCCATCACTGCTATAGGAGTTCAGATTTAAAAAAAGAATAGACAAATATGTTGTCATATTGAAAGCATGGCATTTCCATATCAAAATGTTGCAGAAGATATTGCAGAAAAGAATGTTTTTTTTACAAAACATTAGTAAACTTTACAGAAATATTTTTCTAAAGATGTAACAGGTTTGTAGTACTCCGTCTTCTTACTACGTATTTTATTGCCACCTAGCAGAAAACTATAAATTTCCTTGCAGTACCCTCAAAGTTTTTCATACATTGAAGGATGTTTTCATTATGTCCTCTCTTGCATATTATTCCTATGTATTTTTCATTCATTGAGTGGCGCGGTAGTCTAGAGGTGGAGCTCTCGCCTCACAATCAGGAGGCTGTGAGTTCGATCCTAGGTAGAAGCAGATATTTCTCTCTCTGGGCACATTGAGAATATATCTGCTGAATACAACTTCGCATTGGTGAGAGAAAGGACATCCAGCCAGTAAACACTCAGCTCCATTCAGTTGCCCAGACTCCACCCTGCAAGTGATTATGGGTCATTAAAAGAAGATGATTTTTCATTCAATATTTGTAATATTTGGTCTCCAGAATAATTCAAAGAATATAAGGAATTCCACAGTTCAACCCTGAACTATGTACTTTTTCTCCTATTGGAATTTTAACTTTATTATACCATAAAACCCTATGCCAATGTAACCTGTGCCAATGAAACCTCAAAATATGATCTTCTAACATTCTTTTATTTCTCAGCAAGACTTATTGTTTTACAAAAAAAAAAACCCACCAAATAACAGCCTGAAAATTATAGTTTAAAACAGGATAATCCCAGTCCTCCTCTATCTTTGTATCCTGCAGAATTTTATATTTAACCATTGGTTACTTACTCTGCCGTACAGATGGCTATTATATAATTTTGCCTTTTTTTAAAAGGTGCATCATTTTTCACAACTGATATTATTTAAAATAAAACATCATTGTAGGTAATATAGTCATTTTTATCACAGAAAATCTTCCAAACCATGGAAGTTGCAACTTTTCCCTTGGTAGATTTTTCTTAATTTCATTCCATATCTTAACATAATTATTCTGAAATATAACATACAGCAGAATTTTATTGGTTGCAGTATATCTGGATGTTTTACCTTTTATTCATATTTGAAAACTAGTTTCTCCAAGCAATTCTTTTTGATCTTTCTCATATTTTTTGTTATAATTTTAGTCTTTATTCGTTTTAAATTTAGCTACCATGCCAAATTTCTTCAGCTTTTCCATTAATATATCTATTCCTTCCAAGGAATTTTCAACTATTAGAACCAAATGATCTGCAGATGGCCTTAATTTATATACTTTTTTCATCTTCATGCCGGTTATTCTCTCATTTTATTTTCTGTCTGTATTAAGAACTTCCAAAGTCAAAATAAGCTCCAGTGGTACCAATAATCTTCTCTTGTCTCTTTTTAAATCTCACAGGGATTAGTGAAATCACCATTAACTACAATTTGTGCTGCTCATAATGTATATACTATATCAGTTTTAACTATTTAATAAAATTAACCTCCAAAATCAATTTTTCCAGCATTTTAAATAAAAAAAACAAGTTCAAATTATTAATTGTTTTCTCTGCATCAACAAATGTCAATGTGGCTGATTTTTCATTATACTGTTTCAAATATTCTAGTACAGTACATTAAGAATATTTCTTATATTATTTTTCAGCTGTCTTTTAAGCAGAAAGTCACATTAATCTTCATGTATGAAGTTGTACAAAACATCTTTCATTTTTTTCAGCTAGAAATATTGGAAACATTTTGTAGTCATTAACAAAAAAAATGAACGATAATATTTTCTTTTTGATAAAAAGAGAAACCTGTCCTTTTTTAAAGCAGTATTTGCTCCTATCCGATATCAATCCCTTTTCCAAAATAGAATTCAGCATTTGTAATCAGTTCAATGTTTTTTTTTTATAAAATGTAATCCATCTGGTCCTGGTGCTTTATCTGTTTTGTTCTTTTTTTATTGCTTCTCTTATTAGTAAATGTCGATTCATTATCTGCTTACACTGTTCACATTTACAACAGGAGTAAAGAGCTTACTTTTCTGCTTGCCTTTTCTAGTTACTGATAATTTTATTAAAAATAAATATTGCTTGAGCTGCTGTTTTACCTCTTTTTTTATATGTGTGTGTATATGTGTGTTTAATCTTCAACCTTATCGTCTTACCTTAATAACAGTTTTTCTTTCAACTTTCTGCCAGAAAACCTAGAGGAGAGGGCAAGAAATGTCGCAAAGTATATGGGATGGAAAATAGAGATATGTGGTGTACAGCTTGTCGTTGGAAGAAGGCCTGCCAAAGGTTTATTGATTGAAGCCCAGAAACAATACGGAGTTGTGTATAATAGGGTTCCCTTGCTGCAACCGTGCAGTGTGACTCTTCCCACCTCCTTGAGTGCTGATGTCTATTGAAGACTGGCACTCTAAAGCAAATATATTCATTTCAAGGGGAAGGACTTCTCAAAAACCTATACGCAGCAATATAGGAAAAACTCAACAAAATCTTTACCAAGTTTTGAATCAGGAGCAGCTATATGCATCTTTCTGGAACAAAATCTGTTTTTAATACCTTGAACAACTCGCCTGCCAGGACATTTGTCTTACATACTACATCATGATCAGTATTTCACCTTTGGAATCACTTAAAGCCAAGATTAAGTGATGCTACTTTTCTGAGAATGAAGTAAATGAAACACAAATACACGCGTGCATACACAGACACACTAAACTTTAGAAATAAGCTACTTTTTTCTCAAGAGCAGCTCTCCCAAAAGTGGTAAATAATTCTATTGTGAACAGTCTTGATTCAGCGTCTGGTGCTTGTCCTTTAAGGATAATGGAAAGATGCTTTGCTAAAGGGGCAAGAAATTTAAGAGTGATCTCAAACTCAGACCTGAAGGTTGAGCACTTCTTGTATCTGTCCCAAAGAAGGCTAGTTGGGGTACAATCACCAGCAGTCCTAAGCAAAAAAAAAAACCCACACATGGGAAAGGAGTCTGGTTTTAAATGAACTTGGATTGAAATCAGCATACATACCAACAAAGTTTGGGTTCTGGGATATCTTCTTAGAAGTAAGTACTGGAAAATGTTGACCATCTCACAGTGCTAAAGGCTCCGCTCAGACTAATGGGCAGCCCAGTGGATTTCATCAACATTAATTCAGGGATGTGATCGACCCAGCAGCTTTTCCCCTGCTTTTTACGCCATTTCTAGGTTAACATTTTAGTTCAAAGAGCAAATTATCACTTCAGGGGATAGAGATTAAAAGGACAAACTGGTTTTTCACTTCCCGACATGTAAAATATGAGTGCAGCAAAGCAGATGTCTGTATGTAAAAAAATCCCATTGGTTATAAAGTTCTTTCAATATCAGAAATAAAAGCCTTCACGCTGGCTTGCACTTTCATAGGTTTTTGTGCTTTAGTGTAATTTAATCTTCATTTGGCCCATGAGATAGACTGTTGTAGCTGTGGTGTAAATTGAGCTAATGCTTGAGAATCAGTAGAAAGTTTGGACATAGGTTACTGGAAATAATGTCTACAGATTGCCTATTAAAATAAAGGAATTCCTATAAGAGCACTACCACATATTAATATAAATACGGCTTGTGCTCAAGACCTTCCTGGTGGATATTGTCCTTTGATATTAACTCCAGTGGGATGAGATAGGTATCCCAAGTTGGGAAAACAAGAGCAAGAATGGAAGCCCTTGATGCTGTTGTATGATGACAAGTCAGAAATAAATTTTATTGGGGAAGGGGGGTAGAGGAACCACTGATGGTCTATATTATAAATCACTATTATGTAGAGTGTCTGCCTATAATAAATATAAAAAAGCACAAATTTTAATTAAAACAAAGATTATTAAGCTAGGGCTGACTCTTCTATAAACTTCAGAATGATTAAGTTAGCTTTAGCGCAATGATAATATTAAAAGAATTCAGGTAGGCCTGGAACCGTCTTCCAAAATAAGGCTATCTGGTTGAAAACACTTCTACTGTACTGATAAAAGGCTTCTTGTACTAAGCATTTTCATCAGATATTCATCCAGCTTTCTCATTGTCTTCAAAAAGCGCAATTTTATAGCATGTGATTCCACTCATAAGTAGAGAATAGGAAATTTCTTTCTTGAGATTTGGTGGGAAAGTCAGAAAAAGGAATGAAATCGACATATATTGCTTTTTTCCCCCCTTTATAGTTTGATCTTTAACTGTTCAGCTTAACTATCAGTGTCTAGCAAAAGTAAGATTTAGGAAAATCTGAGGTTGTATGTGCTTATTTATTTATTTAACAGAAAATTGTATTTGTCAGATATTTCTTTGGATCATAGTATTTACAGGGAGATGACAACTAATTTTGAAAGAGTATATTATATAATAATCACGTCTGCATTCTAACTTGAATGTGTTATTTTGCACTCCTATAATTGTGTTGAAATATATCTCTGGCTGCATGCATGGTCTATCCAAAATTCACTAATAAATTGTTCTGACCTGCTGCTTCATGGCCAGTATATGTTCTGAAGGAAATACCAAGTATGGCTTTATGTATTTTTTCCTAATTTCACATACAAAAAAGTAATAGAGTTCACATTTGCTGGCATTCCTGTTTAAAGATTTCTAAATGATAGGGCTACAGACAGGGAGGAGGTCTGCTTGAAAGCACAGAGGATTTCCACTGTGGTCAAAATTAAGCTAAGTAGGTTTGAGCTAACCAAAGACAGCTTAATAAAATTAAGCTAACACTCTTGATATAGAAAAAAACAACCTCAAAATCACCTGGAAAGCTAGAGTGCTATAATGAATTACTAAATTTTTCATACATTGAAAGTAGGTGTGCATTTACCTTAACAAAAGTTCAGGCTGGAATGTATTGAATTGATTTTCTTTCATTGGGCTTTATTTGCATCATCCTATTTTCTTCCTTTAGTTTGGTATTTCTTTTCACAGGATGTATGCCATACAATTTTTAAAAAAATATAACTTAGTTGAATCAGCTGTTGGTGTAAATTGTGATCACATGCCCTGGAGATACCAAGACAGAAGTGGAAAAAATCGTTTTAAGACCATGCTGGCGAACCTATGGCACGCGTGCCACAGATGGCACACAGAGCCATATTTGTTGGCACACCAGCCGTCATCTCTGGCACACATGCGCACACCGGCCAGCTGATTTTTCACCCTTCTGGAGGCCAGGAGAGGTCATTTTACCCTCCCCAAGCTGAAGGCTTCCTGCCCACCATACACAGGTGGGCGAGCACGCACACGTGCGCAATAGTGCATGTGTGCCCAATTTTGGCATGCCATAAGAAAAAGATTTGCCATCACTCTTCTAAGATATATGGGTTGGTCATTGTTGGAAATAAGTGATTTATTGCATATGTATTCAAATTGAGATAGAAATTATAATATATGCCAAATAATATTGGTAAATTTATTATTCCTACTTTATGTTATGTTCTCAAAATGTTCAAAGCAGACGTAAATACATGTTATTATAATCAGACTCCACATTCCTAGGAATTTTAAACTTGGTCATTCAGTATTTTTATTACACATTTTTCTAATTAACTCTGCACTCTTGAGGGTTAGAAAATTTTAAAGATAGAAAAATAATCATAGGATAATAACTGTTTGCCAAATATCGTTCATTTATGTGCAATATAGCCTTTGTAAGTTCATTTATTGCTTTTTCCTATCCTCAATTTTTGGTTTTGCAGACTTTTACTGAGTATGTTCAACTTCAACAGTGAAAACGTTTTTATCTTTATAGAGATATTTGAACAACTTTTTCCCATAGTTAGATTAAAGGCAACTGACCTAAGATAGGATTTGCTTGCTTATACTTTATATGACATTACTGCCAGATAATTCTGTTGGATCTCTATTCTGTACTATAAAGAGACAAGCATAATTTGGCAGTAGAACTGCTGGAATTTGCCTTGTTCTATTTAATAAGTGTTCTTCATAACATTGATTGTAACATAATAAATTCTTTTTATTGCTGGAGAATTTCAATAGGGCTTTAAACTTACCAAAAGACCCAGGAAATAGGTGCTAACCAGAACTGTAGCTTAGAATTAGAGATATGGTAAGCAAGGGGGTTGCAGTTAGTGTTTCATAAGACTTTTTAAAATATAAATTACTGCTTACTTACTTATAAATAATTTCAAAATTATTTATAAGATATCACTGAGGTTTTGAGAAATGCAAAATATTTTCCCAACTCTCCCTGATACTTTTCTTAACATGTTTTCTTAACAACTTATGAGCCACGATGGCGCAATGGTTAGAGTGCAGTACTGCAGGCTACTTCTGCGGACTGCCGGCTACCTGTAATTTGCCAATTCAAATCTCACCAGGCTCCAGGTTGACTCAGCCTTCCATCCTTCCAAGGTGGGTAAAATGAGGACCCAGCTTGTTGGGGGCAATATGCTGACTCTGTAAACTACTTAGAGAGGGCTGCAAAGCACTATAAAGCAGTATATAGGTGCTATTGCTATGTATTCATAGATATTTTAAAGCTCTATCAGAGGTAATATTTTGAGATCATTATTAGCCTGATTTGACTAAACAATGATGTGTAGCAGCTTCAAAGTGAAGGCAGAAAATATTATCTCTGACTGCTTGTTAGAAAAGAGTTAATAAATTCCCAACCTTTGCTCAGGGGTAATTTGAAAAGCTCTTCCCATGCCTAGTTTGACATTTCCAACATCTGACATGAATACTGTTGTCAATAACTATGTCCAATCCAAGACTACTTTCTGGTGAGTCAAAATAACTTTGAACAATGTTATACATGAGCTTTATGTATAAATAATTGTCATGTTAGAATCAAACATGACAAGCTGCCATTTTTTTCTTTTATTCAGGTTTGTGTGTTTAGATAAACCTGTTTAGATTATGCCCAGTGTCATCAGATTTTGCATCATTATTTTCATTGGCCTCCCAATCAAAGGAATATACTATATACAACTTGCTTGCAAGGCTCCCTCTAGCTTTTGATTACTTATTTTTCCTGAATTTCAAAATTTGTTTCCCTTGATTCAAGATTTAGCTAAAATAAATCTCAATCACCTTTGCCTCTATAAATTCACTTAAGATGAAAGACTAAGAATTTTTGTCAGCATGTTTAACTGTGTAATAAAAACCAAGAACAATGAGAAATTAAGTCTCATATTTTGTGGTAACTAAAGGAATGAAGACATTTTTGACATTTCAAAACTTCATTTTCTTTACTTATTTTTAAGAAAATCTATAATATGGATTTTTTGGAATGGTTTAAATATTGTACAGTCTGGATTTTGTTTCCAGTGGGGCAGGTACATGATTCTGGAAGAATAAACAAGCATTCCATTATAGTTACTGCTACCTTTAGTTTGTCTTGAGCAATGTAGGAAGACATCTGCTTGCACAAAGATTCTGACTTTTAGGGAAATGGAATAGAGTCTATTAATTATATGCAGTTTATTGGTGGACAAATGCCATTGGGTTTCATCCTCTATTTCCTCTGAGAGGAAAAATGTAGAGAATAGTGATATAGATTTACTAAACAGATTGGTAAACAGAGAGAGATTGTATTTTTTGACCCAAAGTTATTCAATACAATTAAAGAGGAATGCTCACTTGAGATTGGTTGAATTGGACCTTAACGTGTATTATAATCTTACATATTTGGAAATATTAGAGGAATTTTTAGCCAGTGTAAGAACAGAAATTCAGTAAGACATAATCTGCTGAATATTTATTAGCATAAAATAATGGGAATTAAATTTTAGAAAAATCTTTCTGTTTTGAAGTACAGTGACATTTTATTTCACTATCTGTGACAGAATTACTGCCTAATTTCAAATGAATGCTATTTATAGATTTAAATCTTTGGACCCAACCATGTTAGTCAATCCTTTGACCACATTCATACCTAGAATTAAGATGTTCTGAGGCTTCTTTGAGTTTAATATGATGCAGCCAATATGGCAAAGTGTTGTGTGAGAAATAGGGCTCTGTGACTTACTCAAACTGTGGTTTAAAAACTCCTGGATTAATATAGGCAGATAAATGCTGGATGCTCAGATATCCTTTGACTGTCCTCTTCATAGTTCAGTCAGTCCTGGCAATATTAGGACATTCCTGACCCTTCAGCTCTATTATGGTAACAGATTTTGGGAAATTACCCGGGTGGGGGGTAGAGTATAATCTTCATTAATGTTTCTTATCCTACAAAACAAACATTGTAATTGTATTTTCAACGTGTTTTCTTTGAGTTAGTGGAATAACTAGATTCATGCCCATAATTATTATTGAGCTCGCAAAATATAGAATTAAAAACACAATTGGAATCTAATGCAGCTACACAACCATACATGAAACTTTTCTGAGATTTAAAGATTCCAGTTCTGAATTTGGGAATACTTTTTATAACCACTTAAACCTCAAGGCCATTGGATTTTATATGACTGTTTTTCCTGAGCAAAACTCAGATCTTCTTTTGTGAACTGCTTTCAGCAAATGAATATTGAAGTCTTTCCAAAAGCTGAAAAAGAAGGATGTTTCTGTATTCATGTAGTCCTCAATTTATGACCACAATTGGAACCAGAATTCCATTGTTAAGCAAGGCGAGTTTATGTGAGTTGTGCCTGATTGTACGGCCTTTTTTGCCCCAGTTAATGAATAACTGCAGTTGTTAAGTAAATCATGTGATTATTAAGTGAATCCAACTTTCCCCACTGATTTTTGTTTCTTGGAAGATGGCTGGGAAGATTACAAGCAGCAACTCCCTGATCCCAGGATGCACAGCTATAGTAAATACATACTTGTTGCCAATCATCTGTATTTTCATTCCATGATTGTGGAAATGCTGCAACAAGTGTGAGTGTGAGGACTGGTTGTAAGTCACTTTATTCAGTGCTGTTGTGACTTTGAACAGTCACTAAATAAATGGTTGAAACTCAAGGACTACCTGAATTTCAAAAGGATGTTTTGAAGATCCTGGAGTATCCTGGTGTGCATATCAATAGTGACCCTCAAACTGATGAAATGGCAGAGTTGTTTTTTTTTTTTAACTTTTTTTCATCTTTCCATGCTGTATGCATTCTGAAACCTACCACCTACATTTAGCTGCTGCTTCAGCATTGTTAGATTGCAGATTTATCTTCCAAAAACCAAATTTTATTGGCAGACAAATTAAGGGATTATGGATTTATGAGGGAAGAAATAACTTCTTATCTATTAGGCTCTGATTCAGCCAAACACTTCCTCGTGTTTATCTTTAATTTGGTCTTCTTAGTTAACAGTGAGTTCAACCAATTACACTATAAGAATATTAGAGTGTGCAAGTTGCACTTCTAATCTTTCTGGATTTACATTGCATGACAATCTGGGTTGTTTTAGATGTTACCCTCTAGACACAAAATACTATTTTTTCCTTCAGTTAAAATATTAAAATAATAATTTAGACAAACCAAGAGTAATACTTTGAGTTGACTTTTTGAGTACAATATTTAAACTTAGTCTAATTGATTAGATGTTTTAGTTGCTTTAATTTATGACTGTTGAAGATTTTAATATTTAGAATATGCAGTAGTTTAGTCAAAAGGAAAAAGAGACAATTGCCTTATTGAATGGTGCAATATTGGTTTTTACTCAAAAAAGGGCTAACTTTTTGAAATAGAATTTAAACTACTGTGAAGAATATTAATTCTGTGTATATTAGAAAGTCTACATAAACTAGAACATTTATGATTTTAAATCAGTGTAATAAGCTTTCCAAAATATAGTCTTTCCTGAAAGATGTGGCTAACTTTTGAATATAAATGCAATTTGTAAACCTTTTTTCAAGACAGTTTACTTTCAAATTTTAATTAATTTCCAGCAAAAAAAAATTGCATGTGCATATGACGCAAAAGGAAATTTGCTAGAAATTCTATTATTCTTAAAATAGGCAGATATTCTTATACTATTTGTTAAAAATGGTTTTTGGTCCAGTTCTGCTGTTTAGGCAATGTGAAATTAGTTTAAACTTTCCTTTATTTTTTTTTCTAAATGTATGTCATAAAATGAATTTTATACCTAGAAAATCATTTTTAGAGTTTAATCAGCTCAGTGAATTAATCTCAATTTGGGAATTTACATCTGGATATTTCTCCATTTTTCTAAAGAAAGAAACAACAAAACAGTGTTTGTCTACAAAACCCATAAATTAACTAAAGATTATAGGACTTTAGGATTTTTCATTTTTTTTTAACCATGGTTATTCTCTGGAAATCAAATACCCTTCAAATGTTTTGGAGCAACTTCCATCATCTTCCCAACAGTTTGATCAATGTTAGTTGCTTGTACCTATGATAGATTCTTCTTTAAGTTATCAAATAACTTAAGTTATTTGGCTTCAATTTTGGATTCCCATTGTAAACTATGATTATGCTGCTTGCTTGTAGCCCTTAAGCACTTTCAGTGTATATATTCATAAACTTGACTGAGCTGTGAAATTAAAATATTCTGTGGTGTGATGAAGGTGGCAGAACTTTAAGTAAGCTACTAGCCTGGCAGTGATGAAACAAAAAGGTTAGTGTCCTGTAAGAGATTTAAAAATCCTGTGAACTAGCAAAGCATAACTGCACACAGTGTGAATTTGGGATGATAGCAAAAAGTGACAAACTAATTCCCTGGCCACTCTGATGTCTTCTATTAAAAGTATTTTTATGTTATTTTATGTTATAGTTTGGTATACTATTATAATCTAAAATGTACTGATTCATCACATTTCTTTCTTCTATTCACTATCCTTTAAGCCAAACATTAGTCCATGATTTAATTAGGTTTGTATTTATTTGTATGAGTGCATTAAATTGATGAATAATTGTAATGAAGGATAATGTCAAAATGTTATTTCTTTAAATGGTTTCTCTGAGATATTTGTATCAGTTTATATCTATCCTCAGATCAAGTTAGTTTCAACAGTAGCACCAGTCAATCTTGTGGAACTTAGTAGACATAGATGATCCTGTTATTAGCAGTTTCCATGGAATTAAAAAAGGGAAGAATGAGTTTTTTATCCAATCAGCAACATTTTTTAACGAAAACCATTACTAATAGGTCATCTTTGTTAATGTTTAATCTGTCTGGAACTAGCATGCACAATAATTATTATTACATACATACAACAAATCATGATATTTTGCATTAAGTTTCAGCAACTACGTGTTTTTTCAGGCCAAAGATCAGTTGACATGATGGGATGTTATTCTAATAAAAGAGGTAAGGTCAAAACAAATATGTCATCAGGTCAAACTAAAAATCAAATCCTTCATGATTTTAATATATAGTGAAGCTTAGTTTTATTTAATATAGATCAAATGATTAAATTGTTTAAATGAAGTTCACATGATCACTCCTTATGTATTTAATAATTTTCCCC